GTGTGGGGAGGGGCCGTGAGGCCCTCTCATTATTCTTATTATTTCTAGGTAATTCTCTTGTAAGAGAGAGCCCGGCTTAGCCAGCTGGATGCTGAGAAGGGTCCATGGCTGCATGTTCCTCTGCCCCCTGGAGTCGGCCTGGGACAGGGACAGGGACAGGGACAGGGCTAGCGTGACTCAGTCACCTGACTCATTCAGGGGTGTTTATGCGGACCTGCCAACCCCCCATCCTTAGATTGTGCGCCAGGAGCTGGGGGCCGTGGTTCCAATGACAACAACACATGTACAGTTGCAGCCCGACAGCCGTGCTCCCGAGCTGACTCCCGCATCCCGAGCCTTGGCCCTGGCGGCCATGTCCCTCTGGGCCGTGGATTCTGTAGCCGTGTTCCCGGGGGCCCCAGGGGCTGGTGTGCTCCCTCCTCAGCCAGCTGTGTCACCCGCTCTCATCTCTGCCCTCCTCCTGCAGGCGAGCACTGCGAGGTGAACGCACGGTCGGGCCGCTGTGCCAACGGCGTGTGCAAGAACGGAGGCACCTGCGTGAACCTGCTCATCGGCGGCTTCCACTGCGTGTGCCCTCCCGGCGAGTTCGAGAGGCCCTACTGCGAGGTGACCACCAGGAGCTTCCCGCCCCAGTCCTTCGTCACCTTCCGAGGCCTCAGGCAACGCTTCCACTTCACCATCTCCCTCACGTAAGTGTGGCCCCCGCTGTCTCCACACGCGACTCCTGTGGTTGGAGCGTTAGGGACGCGTCGCGGTGCGTCGCCACACGTCTCATCCTTCTAGATGACGATGAAGTGTCGCCCGCCTGTGACCTTGGGTGGTTGAGCAGCTCTGCTCAGTGCTGACGGCAAGACTGGCGACTTGATTTGTAGGGCCCTGTGCACGTGGAGGGTGTGGGACCCCTTGTTCCAAAATTAAGAATTTCAAGTCGGCACCAGCGGAGCATGAAGCCAGGCCTGGGGTCCTGTATGACGGATTGCCCGGGTCACGCCATGAAGCTGCCCTGGCTGACTGGTCCTGCTCACTGGCCAACACTTGGGCATCGTGACATCCAGGTGACCCGAGGCGGAGGGAACAGGGACCCAGCAGGCTTGGCATCAGGCAGACTCCGCTTGGATTCCTGCTTGGCTCCCCACGAGATGGGTAACAAGGGAGCTGACTGAGCCCTTTCAGACCTGGTTCCTTAGTCACACACAGAAGCAGGCTTACGGTGTGCTATGGCCGTGACTGTTTTTGCTTTTTTTTTAGATTTAATTTTTTAAAAATCTGTCATTTCCATCTTGAAGATGTCTGTCAAGTTTAACTTAGTAAATAGTGTTATATTTGGTTGGTCGTGCCAGTGTCCGTGGGGCCCTTTGGGGAGTACAGGGCCTCCTGCCTTAGGCTTTGCCACGCTGGGGGCCGCACAGTGGTGTGGCGCGTCGTGGGGCCAGCATGCACTCAGGTGGCACAGCACGTGCTTACTGAGCACCTGTCGTGTGAGGGCTGCTCAGAGGCGATCCAGACACACCTCTAGAAGTGACCCTAGGGGCCTTAGAATCGAGCAGGAGGGACCCTCAGTGTCCATGCTAAGGATGCAGACGGAGCTCGGGGCCACCTCAAGGCAGGGAGGCCGCACCGCTCTGCCCCATTACGCCACAAAGCCAGTCTTCAGGGCCGGGACACCAACATGCCTGTGTTCAGGCTCGCGGACATCTCCGGGGGGATGTCCCCTGTGTGCCCCACACGCAGCAGACCTGAGAGGAACCACGGTCTCGGCCTCCATCACTTGATCCTTGTCTGCGGAGTGGCCCCAGGTGGCAGGGCCTCCTTGTCCCCACTGCTCCTCACTCCTCATCAGGTCCCATAAGTCCGCCGACCTCGCGTCTCCCACTTCTGGCCTTTCCTCTCCTTCCCAGCCCCTGCACATTGGCCCCGCCCACCGTCCTCTCTCCCTGGTGACACCGCGTGTGACAGCGTTGGTGTCCTCTGCTCTCAGCCTGAGAGGTCGACTCCTGTCGACAATCCTGCGGGGCCTGCCTGCCTCCTCGGGTTAAGCCCAAACTTCTTAAGGTGCATGGCCTGACCCCTGGTGACCCCCAATTCTGGCACCTTGAACCCCGTGACATGGCCGCCCTCACCTCTGTGTGGTTCTCTGGACCTGCCCAGCTTTGTTCAGGCCGTTTTCTCACCCCCTCTGCTGGCCCGTCCCTTCCTGCCGCTTCCTTCAGGAAGCCCTCCTGACCCAGCCCGGGTGATGCCTGCATTCCAGCTCTGGCTAGATAGTCTGGGCGCTGCCCACTTGTCCGCTGCCTTCAGCCCGTGAGGTCCCTGCGTGCGGGCTCAGCCACCGTCCACCCCGACTGCTCACAGAGGTCCTGATGGGGGACTCGGTTAGCGTGGGGGCTTGAATTGTCGGCGGGATTTCTACATCGTGGTTGAAATATCGTTCTGAACCCATCCTCCATGCAAGCTCACTGGCTGGGAACTTGTCCCAGGTGGCAGATTATTTGATTGTGCTAAAGTCTCCAAAGCAGATGCCCATACTTTTTGAAACCTTTAAATGGTCGTGTGGGATCCCTGGCTGGTGTTTCCAGATTCAAGGTCCTGGAGAGAGAGCTGTGCCTGTCATTGTCACCGTGCTGAGGGCCAGCTCTCTGTTCATGCCTGTTCACCTGCTGGCCTGAAGCTCCTCAGGCACGTTTCATCCTGTGTCCCAACACCCCAGGCACCCAGGGGTCAGCAAGCCGACTTAAAAGGTGACCACAAGCCCTGGTGCCGGAGGTGGGCAGGCCCGTGGCTAACCTGCCGGAAACAGACAGAGGAAATCTGCTGGCTCCAGACTCAGAGAGAAACTAAAAAATAAAATGTTTAGTCCACTTGCTTGTTAAATGTAGTAATTTTAGGTGATTACACTTGACAGCAGTTTATGGACGATTTCTGATATGCGTGACAATGGCTAAAGTGTCAGGGCCATCGCTAAATAAATCAGTGAGTGTTTTGTAGGAAATGCCCTCAAAAGCAAAATCATACAACTTGGACAGAAGAACAGCTACACTCTGGGGGAGCAGGGGAGAGGCCGGCCTGGGAGGAGCTGGGGCCCCCTGTGCCTCCTGAGGGGCACGCCGTGAGAAAGGTGGGCAGGGGCACCGCTGGGGCTTTTGTTTCAGGTGGTTTCTTTCCAGGCTGCTTCTCCTCTTTCCAGTTTCTGTTTGCCAAGTGCCTGAGCTCCCGGCCGCTCCGCGCTCCCAGCCGCCTCTCCTCCCCTCCTCCCTGCCCCATCCTTTGTTCTCTCCTTCCCCGGCCCCCTCACCAATCCTCCCCTCTCTTTCTGGCCTTTGGTCTCCTCACTTGCACTGTTCAGACCTTCCCGTTGGCCCTGGGTCCCTTCTGCAGCTCTCCGTCTCCAGCAGTGGGCGGGTGCTTGCTCAGGGGACCATGAGGGGCTGTAACGTGTCGGGCTCCCACCTTGGTCCGGAGAGAGACCTGCCAGCGAGAACTGGGTGTGGCCGGGTCTCAGGAAACACGCTGGTGTTGAGTTGACCCCAGGCTCACTCAGCCGCCTTCCTACAAGCTCACTCCACACCCGAAGCACCCACTTGGCTATGCGGGTATTTTTTCTTCAGAGTTTGTCATCAGTTCTTGCTGCCTTCTAAACAAAGGGGATTCAAGGTCTGCCCAGGAATTGTCGGTTTTACGTAATTCCAGGGAAAGGCTGAGGTCAGACGCCTGAGGCTGGTTCCGGCAGACTCCTGCTGCAGGAAAATGGATAAAACCAGCCTTGAATCAAAGCAAAGAATTTCCCCCACTTAATCTCCGATGAGAGCGACATCCAGCTAATGCAGGAAATAGTCCCACCTTCATTCAGGAGGTTTGCCGGGTTCTCTGTAACCAGGGCGTCGGGCGGCCTTGTGGCGCCTCTGTGTGTCTGAAGACACCCCCCTCCCACCACCCACCCCGTCAGGGCCCCTTGGGTCTGAAGAAGCAGCTTCCTCAGGACCAGGGCTCGGGGGTGGTGGATGGGGGGTGGGGGGTGGGAGAAGGACTTCCGAGAATGTTTACCTCTTGGCAGAATAAGTGGGTTTCACTCTGAATTCGTAAAGTCTGACAAGCCTTCATCTTCACTGGCCTTCCTCCAGTTTGTTCAGCATGTCACTAAACGCTTATGTGGACCAGACCCTATGTGGGGCTCCACAGAGAACGAGTTATGGTCCCTCCCCTTAAGGACCACATGTTCTTATAAACAAGTAAATAAAGATAATTTCAGAAATACACTGAGTGATGTGATAGACAGATGCGGGGTTGGTTGGGCACAATTTTGATTACACAAGTTAGGGAAGGTGCAATGGGGTGGCCCCTGTGACATCTGCAGAGCCGGGCAAGACCTTTCTGGTAGAGGCAGCAGCAGGTGCAAAGGCCCTGGGGCCGGGAAGACTATAGTGTTTGGAGCAGAAGGATGCAGGGTGGCTGGAGTGTGGGGGTGGAGACAAGGGGCCCTGAGATGGTCGTCTCCTCCAGTCTCCTTGTGCTAGAAGGCACCATGTCCCTGTGCCCTGGCACACTTTCATGGGATCGCTTCCTGTGGTAGAAGATGCCTGTATATGTTTTCTGTCCAAACTTCTCTAATTGGCATAGTGGCTGTGTCGTTGCTCCTAGAACATTGTGCAAATGTAATCTTTTCACTTCACACGGGCCGTGGTGACCAGATTTCCTCATGGAACCTGGTTTGCCTCTTCTAGAAAAGAACATCGCTAAGAAAAGAACACCGCTAATTGGGTTTTATGGACTGTCAGTTCCAAATGAGAAAAGTGAGCACCCAGGATCCGTCTTTCCGGCGTGTGGCCCCTTGCCTCGCCCTCCACTGGCTGCCCTTGTCACGCGGGGGCAGCCGGCACACCTCCTGCGTGGAGGTCAGTCAGCGTGTGACATGCCTCCGCTTGGGCCTGCAGGTTTGCCACCCAGGAGAGGAACGCCCTGCTGCTGTATAACGGCCGCTTCAACGAGAAGCATGACTTCATCGCCCTGGAGATCGTGGACGAGCAGGTGCAGCTCACCTTCTCGGCAGGTAGGGCCTTCTCACGGGAAGAGCCGTGTTCTGAGCGCGTCACGGGTTAAACGCTTGGTAGGTTAAAGCCACCCTACTGTGTGCAGTACCTCCAAGCGTGCTTACCCCTCGTCCCCTGGTTGCACGTCCAGGAATCCGTCCTGTGGCAGAAACCCAGAATGCACAAAGATGTCCGTCGTGGTGCTATTTATATTAATGCTAAAAATACGGAAGACGCAGCTCAGATTTTCAAAACTGGGGAGTCACTGAAGTGTGGAATGTGTGGAGATTAAAACCATGCACAGAGCCGTTACAAATGTTACCCTGTGGTTGGAAAAGAGCATTTACCCAGACTGTCAAAAGGACTTTTAGTCGTTGTGGTCTGCTAACCTCTGTTTTCTCTCCGCACCTTCCCCGCCCCACAGGCGAGACCACGACAACGGTGGCACCACAGGTTCCCGGGGGCGTGAGTGACGGGCGGTGGCACTCGGTGCAGGTGCAGTATTACAACAAGGTAGGATGGGGCGCTCTTCCCGTGGGCCCTGGGCTGCCAGCGGTGGGGCCCTGGCAGCCTTTCTGTCCTGACATATATACTCTGAAATGTAAAAAAAAAAGTATGCTGGTTGAAAAAGTTACTTAGGAAATGAGCATTTGTTGAGGGTCTGTGTAAATATACCCAAGCCCTGTGCTGGGCGGGATACTCCCCCAGGGATTTCTGGGGTTGGGGGGGGACACGGGGACCAGAGATCGGCCTACACCTGGGAAGGGCACAGAAAGAGTTCATTCACGGCGGCTGGCTTGGCCCGAGTCATTACTGGAGGCTGAAATTCCAGGCCATTCAAACACAGCTTCCATGCCGAAATCATCCACTGTGCCCGGATGTAACCCGAGCGTTGAAAGGTCTCGGAGGAAATGCTGGGAAGGTGTGGGCATTTTTGGTTTCGTTTTGTTTGGCTGTTTACTGGCTTGTAAGGAAACACGTTGCTTTTGCATCGAAATGCCCACCTCTCTCCATTTCTGTGACCTTGCCAAGCGCTCTCCTTCCTTAGAAACCCAGGGCGCCTCCCCCAGTGGGTCTGCACTGGCCTTGTCCCCTCCTCCCCGCAAGGTGTCCACAGGGCTCGGCCTGGCCTGGCTGGCAGAGGAGGGGCCCGCTGTCTGTAAGAAGTAGACCATGGAGGGAGGGCGTTTTCTGCCCTTCCCGTCTGCTGCGTGTCTGTGTTCGGACACACCGGTGATTGGCGTCTGCCTCCCACCACTTTGACCTGAGGCCGTTGTGTCATCCAGGCCCCCCCCACTCTCGTCCCCCCAGTCTGTCATCGGCTGTCCATCTGCCTCCCTGGAGCTGCCCTTTACACCTGGCCTGCTGGGTATCATTTCCCAGGGTCCTCAGCAGGCCCCCAGCAGTGATGACCCTGTACGGTGACCATTGTTTTCGCCCGATGTCCCTGACCTGTAGCCAGGTCCTGACCCACAGGTGACCTGTAGGTCTCATTCACCATGAGGGTGACAGAGAGGTCCTGCAGGGGTCTGGGGAGCCGGGCTGATGTGACGCGGGGGCGGGGAGCTAGTGCTCTTCCCGGGGTCTTGAGGACTAAGGAGAGCCTGGAACGGGGCTGGGCTGCCGCAGCCCCCGTGCAGACCTGCGTTGTCGCCGCAGGCAGGTGGGGGGCCGTGGCACTGGCCGCGCTGGGTTGCTTGTGAAGGGGTGTGTGAGTAAGGAAAGGAGGTGTGTAGGGGCTCGGCGGCTGGGCAGACGAAAGGCACCAGACCTCCGCAGATACAGACGTGTGTGCCGTGATCACCCCTTCTGTCTCAAGGACTCGCGCCTTCTGAAGTGGTGGCCCCCACGGCAGTTTGGGACCATTAGTAGCCCGTGTGAGGCACGCCTGCCTGCTGCTCACCTGGGGAAGCACCCAGGGGCAGGGCGGCCCCTCAGAGCCTCCACCCTCACGTCTGCCCTCTCGGGGGCCTGTCCGTGGAGGTAAAGTGGGCGTTCCCTCCTTGGTGCCTTAGCTCACACGACCTGCTTTCCCAGGTGATCCCCGGGGGCCTCTCACACCTGTTTGGGCTGCTCTGGAGCACGGCGTCTTACCTCTTAGACGTCCCCCAGGTTTCCCTGAAGTGAGTTTTTCTGACCCCCTAACCTGCACAGCAGGTTGGACCATTTCTGCCTTTGTCTCTCAGCCTGGAAAAAGTCTGTCCTGCAAGCCAGTCCGCCATGATGTGGTAGCCAAGGGATAGCCCCTGTGTCCTGGGCACAGGTTAGAGGACCGTGCCCCTGTGTCCTGGAAGGTCAGGGGCCCCCAGGCCAGGGCCGTGCCCTGTGCACCTCACTGTCCCCACAGCACAGGCACAGTCCCTCCAAGCTCAGGGACTGTCCTGTCTGACGTCAGGGCCCGACTGCTCCAGCAGCAGGGCGGACGAGCGGACAGACCGGGTCGCGATCCTGTTTCTCTGTTCACGTCGTCAGCTCAGCTTCCTGGGATCCGGGAAGGGCGGACAAGGACACTTAATGGGCAGCAGAGTTCCTGTCAGGCTGACCCCTCATGGCCTAAGGACGGGGACCAGGGGTCAGTGGATTCCTGACCCAAACACATCCATGCTTTTGTGGTGACAACGTCCGTGCCCTTGAGTAGGAAGTGGACACTTTCGTCTGCCTGCCTCCAGGACAAGTAGCTGCCACCTTGCGAGAACGTTCTGTCTGCAGCCAGCCTGGCTTCTGCACACCTCTGAGCCGACATGCAGCCTCTGCCCCCTCCCCTCTGCCTTGTTGTTGGCAGGGACTGGGCACCAGGGACCGGTGGTCCCCGTGGTGTGTGCTTCCCAGGGGCTGGAGTGCCCTGCAGGGTGCAGGCCAGTCGGAATGGGCCGGGGGACTGTCTGCGGCCCACGCCCCGTGCCAGGGAACAAAGAAAGCAGACGAGTTGTATTGTCCATTCTGCTTGTGTGGAAAGCAGGCCTCCCAGGTCTGGCTGAAGGTGTTTAGCTGTGGCCAAGTCAGCCTTGGTTTCTCCATCCGAGTGCCTGCCGTAGCATGTTAGCTAACGGATGTAGCAATAACGTGTCACCACTGAGCAGGGACGGGACCCCTGGCTTGGCCACCCCTGCCGGAGTCTTCATGCATCGTCCTTGGCTGTCCATGGCTCTGCACACGAGGAGTGACAGCCGGGGCCTGCCTGCTGGCAGTGACCCTCCGGAGAGCACCAAGGCCCCCTGGAATGTCCTGAGGGAGGAGGAGCCTCACTGAGACGACGGGCAGGTGGGGGGGACATGCGCCATCCCGCTTCCGTCTCCAGGGCCGGCCTTTCAGCGGCGTCTGAGTGGGCCCTCAGCGCAGGATTAGGCCCTTCCTCTCCTGGAGCCCAGCGATTTCCTCTCTCGCCCGAGGTTATTTTATGGAGGAAACCAAGCAGTTTGCTCTGTATCTTGAGGGCTCATTATGTGGTTTGCCTGGGCCCCACAGCAGGGCAGTGCTCACAGAGATTGTACGCTTCTGCCTCCTAGGGCCGAGCTGTTTCTAGGGGGCTTTTGTCTCAGTATGGTGACAGCCTGGGCAGGACTTACAGGTAGAGAGCATGCTTCGGGGTGTGGGAGGGCTGCCCACCGAAGTCGCGACCCTGCCAGAATGACAAGAAGGGAAGGCAACTCTAGAAATGGTCTGTGAGGGGAACCACTCTGCTCCCCGGGCACCCACGCTGGCTGTGGTCCTTGGAGCGCCCCCTGCCCCCCCTCAGGGCAGCAGCCTCCCCTGAGCACGCTTTGCCCCACCTGGTTCTTTTTGATTAAGACAATGTGTCTGAATAATTCGGCCCACGGCTGTGCAGGGGGCCACAGTCAGAGGCCCCCATTCTCCTGAACGTGGCTTGTCCATGCCCTCCCTGAACCCCCGTTACTCCGAGGTGGCGTCTGCTCTGCATTGAATTGTGTCCTGGATGGGAAACCTCTGGGGGCCCCTTGGACCCTCCCCAAGTCATCCTGGGAGCCTGGCCAGGTTGTTTTCTCAGGGTCCCCACAGGAAATAGAGGGAACCCTGAATAGGATGCTCCTAGGAGGGCGTATGACCAAGCAGGACAGGCTGTGGGCACCCCGAGGAGAAGTGTGGACCCAGGGCTGTGGCGGCCCTTAGGCTGCAGGGCAAGGGCAGAGGCAGAGTGGAACCCAGAGAGAAGAGGTCATGGAGAAAAGCCACTTATGTGGAGCAGGGACCGACTTCAGCGGAGTGACAGAGCCAGCCTGAGGCCCACCTGACTGCTCTCCCCACCCCCCGTTTTGTCTCCTGTTGGGCTCCCACTGGCCAAAGCCAGCCAGAAGCCAGAGGACAGGGGACCCCTTGATGAGGTCCAGGAGTCGGCCCCCAGGCAGGGAGCAGGGCAGAGTCAGTTTGCTTTTCTCTGCTTGATGACATTTTAAACGAGAAGAACTCCTGGTGTGCTTTGCCTTCAGCGAAACTAAGGGCTCGCTGGAGATGGGCCTTTTTCTGGGAAGGTATTTTCAGAGGCAGGCACTTTGCACAAACATGTCGAACTCCATCCAGCACAGGTGGAACAGCAGGTCCCCTCCCCCCACACCCACCCACGAGGTTTGGGGCCAACTTGGGAGATTTGAGATCACCACTGTCGAAGATGTGCATTTTTCTGAGGCTTTTGCGAAAGACGGCTAAACATTTCTACCACCAGCTTGCACAAGAGTGAACGCGCCTGCTGGAAAGAGTTCTGTGTAAATCATTTGGGAAAGATTCCTTCGCACGTGGGGCTCAGGTTTGGACGTAATCGGGGCTCTTTTAGGTACGTGCCCTCCCTGCCCTACCTCGCCTCTCCCCTCCGCGTCACACGCTGGACCAGGTACAGGGAAGTAAGTCTCTGTGACTCTGTTCTTTGTCATAGCACCCCGGAGAGCCTGTCCTTGTGAGATGTCCAGAAAGATGGAAAACGGCTATTGGTCGAGAGTGACAGGAATGTGCTTTTCCCAAAGCTGTGAGAAGGGAGGCATTTGTAATTATCATTTTTTTATAAACGTGGTTGCACAGTTCTCTTGTAGAATCCAACTTACAGAAACTAACTCAGAAGTTGTTTAGTAGAATATAGGGCCATCTGCACAGTGGAATGTCACACAGCCATGAGAGCTCTGTGTGCCAAAGTGGAAAGATCTCTAAGAATGTTGTTACTAGATTAAAAAACAAACAAAAAACGTACAGAACAGGTTGTAGGGTGTACATTTTTAAAAGTTTAACTTCAAACTTTCAGAAAAGTTGCAAGATTAAAACAAGAATTCTTATACACCCTTCACCCAGATCGTCCAGCTGTTGACATTTTTTTCCATTTGCTTCCTCTTTCTCTCCCCACCAGGCCCCCCTTCCCCCCTTACATGTCCCTCGTCATATTTCAGCCACTAATTTTAGCCTCCCTGATGATCACACCTGTATCATGGTCACTGTGACACAAGTCCCTCCATCCACCGCGTTCTACCACAACAAGGAGCTTTTCTCTGCTTTCCTCTGTATTTAGCTCAGTA